ATCTTGTCACAATGTGACTCCCACATGCATCATCTGTCTTCAAGGTGTACACCCTTACCACCCCCAATTCAACAAGTATCCTTGATTTAAAATTTAGAAGCTGGGAGCTTTCTTATTTTGAGATTCACTAGGTGATTTCCATGATTATAAGTTGATGTAAACACCGTTTCATGGTTCACCCATATCAGATTTCATTGATCTTCAATTTGGTATGTACTTGGGTATATTCTTGTTTTTATTGACCAAGTTTTTTTTGTAGTTTATACCAGAGTGGATATGCTAGAGTGTATGCATATAACTAGCCTGACTAATGAGGAAAACCGAATGGGTTCCATATATCTTTGACAAGTAAAGCATTCTGTTCGCTTTTTTGTTACTATTAAATTTTGTGCATGTGATGTAAATAGAGAAATGGGAAAGTAAATATTAATATGATTCCGATTTTTTACCGAACAGAGAGCAAAAACCATAAGCTGATGTTGTCAGAATAAGACGCCTTGACATATATAAGATAGCGAAGAAGTTATACCACACAACTGGTTCAAAACGTTATGCAAACCTGAGATAAACTGCTACTGAAGCTACTAGCTAGAGTTCTCCGAGCAAATAAACATTATGCAAAACATTAGCGGATGAACATCATCTGTGTGGACAAACTACAACAAACGTGCTGCCTAAGAAACTACCAAAACCATGGAGCTTTTCGGCTGATAAAACTGCTGTAACATACATCTGATTTGAGATACTCGCATGGTTTCTTGTCTTTTGTGTGGATGCTAAAGGTGTTGAGTGTCAATGCATGCAAGTTCATCCAAACAATCACCATTTCACCTCAAATATTTCTATTTCTATTCTCGTTGACATTCTTATCAAAGAGCTATCAATTACACAGATTGGTGCCCCTTGAGGTGGACATGCTCATGTATGGTTGAGGACTGTGGCCGGAAATACTACAGTTTTCTTGCCAAGCAGGAATGTTGTGGGGCCCATGCGTCAATGAGAGAAGAGTGAGAGAGAGAGAGAGAGTCGGCGCGCGCCTTGTCGGCTGGCTGGGCCTTCTCTTTTTCTCCCTCTTTCTTTTCTTTTATGTTTCCTATTTCTGCCTTCTATTTCCATTTTTTTCAAATTTGATTTTGAATTTTCTTTCAAAAGATAAAGTATTCCTAAATTACCTTGGGAATATTTCTTGCTATCTGAACATTTATCCAAGGGTTTTTGACAAACTATAATTTGTCAAATTAACTAGTGGGCCCATTTGCAAAGTTGTTTTTATTTCTTTTTTGTTTATTATTCCAGAGATTTATTGTAGTTTAATTTCACAAACTAAACTATTTTCAAACTCTGGTTCACTCAAGAATAATTAGGGCAAATATATATAATTTGTAGGAAATTTATTTCCTGCCCTTATGCAAGTTTTCTGATTAAAGTTTTGGGTGAGCCCTTCATGGCTTCCAATTAAATTCAAATGGTGATTTGAATTCAAATGTTGTCCTTATTGGCCTAAAAAACAAATATGCAAGAAAATCATGGATGGATATGCTTCTAATTTCACAACCAAAATTTAGGGGAAATTTGGGCTGTGACACGAGGCACAAGTTTTACCTAGGGTTAGACCATCACTAGTCGAGTAACAACCTTACTTGTAGTTTACATATTTTTCTAAAGTGAGAGTATATGACAATGATTGTTGTTAAAGTATCTCTTGTAAAACTACCGGTTAGTAAATTTGCATAGATTAAACAGACAAGATGAAGATGCATGTAATATTTAATCGAAAAAGTCTTTTGCCCCACTTTTGATTGTGGTATGGAAAGTGGATTCCTGCCAATAAAGTCGTCATTGTTTGGAATCTCCCACTCTCTCTGCCCCGACACTTTGTCCTCTCCCACCCCGACTCCTTTCCGGGCAATGGCACATCCTCACAGTCACCGGCCTCACCCTGTTGGGGAACGCAGTAATTTCAAAAAATTCCTACGCACACGCAAGATCATGGTGATGCATAGCAACGAGAGGGGAGAGTACCGTCTACGTACCCTCGTAGATCGTAAGCGGAAGCGTTATGAGAACGTGATTGATGTAGTCGTACGTCTTCACGATCCGACCGATCCAAGTACCGAACGTACGGCACCTCCGAATTCAGCACATGTTCAGCTCGGTGACGTCCCACAAACTCAAGATCCAGTAGAGTTTCGAGGGAGAGTTCCGTTAGCACGACGGCGTGATGACGGTGTTGATGAAGCTACCGGCGCAGGGCTTCGTCTAAGCACCGCTACGATATGACCGAGGTGGATTATGATGGAGGGAGCACCACACACGGCTAAAATATCAATGATCAATTTGTGTGTCTATGGGGTGCCCCCTGACCACGTATATAAAAGAGCAAGGGGAGGGGGTCGGCGGCCTCATAGGGTGCGCCCCAAGGGGGGAATCCTACTCCTACTAG